GTTTGGTCGCTCTTGCACACATTGCATTTTGAAAAGCAAGATGAGGAAGGTCTGGCCTTTGAGCAAACAGACACACATTCTTCCTTTTTCTTCTTCTTCTTTCTTTCTTCTTTTCATCCTTCTTCTTCTTCTTCTTCTTTTTCTTATTCTTTTCTTCTCTTCTTCTTCTTCTCTTTCTTCTTCTTCTTTTTCTTCTTCTACTACTTCTTCTTTTCCTTCTACTTCTTCTCTTCTTCTTTTTCCCCTCCTCCTCCTCCTTCTTCTTCTTTTCTTCTTCTCCTTTTTCTTCTTCTTCATCTCCAGCTCCTTCTTCTCTGCTACTTTTTTTCTTCTTCTTCGTCTTCTTCTTCTTCTTTTCCTGCTCCTCCTCCTCCTTCTTCTTCTCCCCTCCTTTTCTTTTTCTTATTATTCTCTTCTTTTTTCTTCTTTCTTCTCCTCCTTCTCCTTCTTCACCATCATCTTCTTCTTCTCTTCCTTATTCTTCTTCTCTTTCTTCTTCTTTCTCTTCTTCTCTTTCTTCTTTTCTCCTTCTCTTTCTTCTTTTTGTTCTCCTTCTATTCCTCCTCCTCCTTCTTCTACTTCTTTTTCTTCTTCTTCTTTTTCTAATACTTCTTCTCCCCTCCTCCTTCTTCGTCTTCTTCTCCTATTTCTTCTTCTTCGTCTCCTTCTGCTTCTCTTTTTCTTCTTCTTCCCTTTCTTCTTCTTTTTCTGCTTCTACTCCTTTTTTCCACGGGAAACACGGGGCAGGAGAAAGGAAGCGAGAGGAGGTCAGTTCAGGCCGAAGGATCCGGCGGTTTATGTGAAGGGTGACCGGCATAGGGCAGGAGGCGGAGGATGTCGGTGGCGAGGAGGCTGTCGGCCGGAGAAGAGCCGCTGTTCAGGTTGAAATTGGGCAGCAGCTTAATCAGGGAAGATTCCACCAATCTGCGGGCATGGACATCAGCGGAAGGGAAGACAATGAGCGCTGCTTTCCAGTCTATCTGATGGCCAGTGTCCCACTGATGGCAGAAGAGAGCGTTGTTGTTGTGTTCCCTGGATACAGCGTACTTATGCTGAGACAGGCGCTTAATAAGACGGAACAGCATAGGTGCCCACTTTCGAGGTAGAGGTAGGGCAGGTGTGAACCAGGTTGCGACGGAGAGTGTTCACCTGACGAAAGGGGAGTCTGCAGCTGAAAGGCTGCAGGGGGCGACGGAGAGAGTAGATCTCAATGTAAGGCAGGCTGAGGACTGACAGGTGAGGAGTCTGATGTATTTCTGATCAAGACATAATCGAAACCGGTCAAATACATCTCTTGTATTGTGAAGATATCCAATCTCATTCATACCTTTTCTACACACACACACACACACATGTATATATATATATATATATATATATATATATATATATATATATATATATATATATATATATATATATATATATATATATATGAATACGTCTCTCTCTCTTTCTCTCTCTCCATCTCTCTCTCTCTCTCTCTTTTTTTTTCTCTCTCTCTCTCATATATATATATATATATATATATATATATATATATATATATATATATATATATATGGTAATTTTCTATATTACGTCCGCATGACCGATATCGACGATTTTGGTATCGTTGGATTCCTCTCACTCTCCACATTGCAAATATATAGTTTTTATTGCGCGCTAACCCCCCGTTAGCGACAAACTTGGCCCCGATAGCAGGGGAGGGCATGAAAGGTTCCAGGGAAAATGCGGGGTTAAATAGCACTAATAATATAACGCATAGTGAATATAACCATGGTTATTCACATAACTTTCCATAATAACCATGGTTATTCAGATAACTTTCCATTGCAGGGGGCTGCGCCCCCTGCGATCCCCCCTGGGGGGGGCTGCCGCCCCCCAACCCCCGCCGAGGAAACAAAACCTCCACTACGTATTCACGGCAGGCTAGAGCGTTACACAATCATCGTCGATGTCGGAGCAGGGGACGTATTACCTCGTAAGATTCTCACTGAATCAGCATATTAAACTTATTATAGTCAGCATTGTATATAGAGACGATTGTAGTATAATCAGGATAAACACGGTGGCCCGCCCTCGTCGGCGGGTTTTGCGCCTTTTTCGATGTTACACCGATGGCCTCAAAGTCGAGTTTCCCTTCCTCTGGAATAACGACATTCGTATTCCTAACCGAAATAACCGTCGCGTTCAGAAGTCAGTCATAGTCGCCGCGATGGCCGAGTGTGGAGGGTGCTCGTACTCCGAGACGGATTTTCTGCGCGAGATTGCCATTAGCCAAGACAAAATGCTAGATATGTGCCTCCTTCGTCGTGAGAAAGATTGCGGCAGGTGCGGGCAGCCAGCACGCCTAGACCTGAAGAAGAAAAGATTCAGGTGTGATAAGGCCGTGGCGGTCAGGAGGCAGAAGAGGCAGAGGTGTGACTGGTCTGCTTCAATGTTCGTGGGCTCTTTCTTTGCGCAATCTCGCCTCGATGTTTAGACCCTGCTGATCTTC